TGTGCCGTCGTTCTGCTGACCGTGAAGGGCGACCCCGCCAGAGCCGCAGCCTGGGCACCAACACCGTCCGCCTGGTCCAGGCCAGTTCCCACGGGGGTCAGCCCTGGGCAGGTAAGGAGCAGGCAGGCACCAAGGGCAGCGTGGGGGCTTAGCGGAACTAGAGGGGTAGGCTTGAGCCCTGGGGGGGGTCTCTGCCTGCCTTCTTCCCCCTCTTAACAGTGTCCTGGCCAGGGCTGCCCTTGGCTGTGGGGTCCCCCTTGGTAGGGGATCTAGGTTCTCCCAGCGCCAGGGGTTAGATGAGCAAGGGCATCTCTGGCCCCACGTGCACCTCTTCCCCATCCTTCATGATGTCAGGCCAGTGGTGTTGGTGCAGAGGATGGGAATTGTCCCAGCTGCTCTTTGCCCTTCACCCTGGCAGCTAGCTGCAGCACATGGCTGTTTGCTGAGGCTCCTGCCTTGTGCTGGGGCACCTGGCTGTTATGGGGTTTGAGGGTGGTGATGCCACGGGCTCCACCGTGCCATGTGGGGCCATGGCAGCACCCTGGGAGAAGTCTGTGCTGGCTGTGCCGTACCAGGGAGGCACTGACCACTGGTTCCCTGCAGGTCGCTGGTACGTGCAGCCCCTCACCTATCGCCTGGAGGGCCAGCATGAGGCCGAGCACCTCCTTCGAGCCACCGTGGTCTACCTGCCCAGCCTGCCTCTGGCCCACAGTCGCCTCCTCTGCGCCTTGGAGCTGGCAGCCACTGGCAAGGCACCCAGGGTACTGCTCAGCCCTGCCGCCCGCTCCCGCCATGGCTGGGCCGAAGCAGATGTCACCCCTTACTTGGTGCTGAGGAATGGCAGCATGGGGAGCCTGGTCCTGAGGCATGTCTGTGTGCATGCCGGCCGGGCAGGGGGCCCCAATGCGCCAGTGGCCCCCAGCCACCCCTTCCTCCTCCTCTACCTCAACGACACCCAGGCTGGGCTAGCACCTCCAGCAGCAGAGCCCCGCCGGCACAGGCGTGACACAGGGACACTGGCCCACGACCTGCCTGGCTACTTGAGAGAGCAGGGAGGGGAGAAGAGTGACTGTTCCCTGCGCCCCTTCCCCGTCAGCTTCGCCGAGCTGGGCTGGGACCACTGGATCATCGCTCCCCACCGCTACAACCCACGCTACTGCAAGGGTGCCTGTCCCCGCCTGCTCCGCTATGACTACCATGCGCCCAACCACGCTGTGGTGCAGAGTTTCGTCCATCAGCTGGTGGATGCCAATGTGCCCCGGCCCTCCTGTGTCCCCTACCGCTACAGCCCCATCAGCGTTCTCATGATCGAGCGTGACGGTGGCATCCTCTACAAGGAGTATGAGAACATGATTGCGGAGTCCTGCACCTGCCGGTAATGCCCGCAGCCCTGGCACATCACTCCCAGGCTCTGCCTGTCCCTGCTGTATCCAGACTTTAGGGTTTGTCTTGCTCTGCCTGGGGTGGGTACATCCCCATGCAGCACTGCTCTGTGGGAAGGTTTTACAATGGCAGTTTTATGTAAATTGTAGGTTTTTAAAGGCAGGAACCTGTGCTGGGGCGGTTGCCCTGTGGCATCTAGCCTTCCTGCAGCCCTACGGCCGCTGCCTGTTTTTGGGGGGGCAGGGGGGCTTGGCCTGATGCTCCCAGAGAAGAGTTGGGTCCCTGGACTGGAGCACAAAGCCCTTAGGAGGTGGCTGGGGGGTCTCCTGGTGGAGACAGGGCAGGGAGGGCGAGCGGTCCAGGTGTCCCCATGCTTAGCACCAAGCTGGCGCCGTCGGTATCCGGCGCAACCCTGCCCATGGGATTTCTTCCCAGCTCATGTGCACCCCATCCTGTCTAGTCCCAGCTGTGGTGGCATCTCACTGGGCTGGGAATTGGGCTGGGGAGGGGAAAGCCCCTCTCCTCCCCTGCAGTTCTGCTCTGGGGGGCTGTGAAAACTGGAGGGACCGGAGCTGCCAGCTCTGCTCTCCGTGCCGGGGACCAGGCAGCTGCCTGCACTGAGCTCTGCCCACTGTTTCCTCTGCCACCCCTGTCCTTCACCTTCTTGGCTGGCCCTCTAGCAGGGCTTGGGTCTCGCCTTACCCCAGGGGTCAGACCTCTGTCACAATGTCCCTCTGCCTTCTTGCATCCTTGCTGTCCCACGGGGCTCAGGCTCTGCTGGGCTCCCAGCCAGTCCCTGTTCCCAGAGGGGTCGGTCCCTCTCCCAGCACCCCTGCCGCCTGGCTTTCCTCTATTTATTGCTGATTGTAAATAAATAAATTGATGGATTTTGCTAAAGATCATCTTGGCCTGTTCTTGCTCTGTCCCTGGGGAGCAGCGGGTGCCCCCTGGGACAAGCTGGTGCAGACTGTCACTGTGTGGCCACCCTTGTGCTTGCACTGGAGGGGGTGGGTGCTGCTCCCTGTGTGTGCAGGGGGTCAATCCCAGCTGGCTCAAGCAGGAGCTGGGAGAACAGGATCCCTTGGAGCATAGACCTGCCCTGGGGTAGGGGGGACCAGACATGGCTGCAGGCAGCTGCCTCTGTGGGGCTGGGGACAAGAGATGCCCCACATCCCTTTATATGGGGCAGCTCCCAGGTGACATGGGGGACCAATGAGCTGGCTTTCCCCGGGCCGGCTGTCACTGTGGCCAAGGCATCTGCCTGCCAGGGTTATTTTGGGAAGGTGTCTGCAAGCAAACCTGCCTATTCCTGGGCGTGATGCCCTGTGTTTGCAAAGCTGGGGCAAAGTTTCCCTTCTTTGAGTAGTGAGGCACAGGTGGCAGCCATAATCCTTGTCCCCAGCGCTCAGTGGCACTGCCAGCTGGGTATGGCCTCTGCATTCTCAGCTCATGGCTCTTGCAAGGGTCTCATCTCTTGCTGGGCCTCCAGCCTATCTGTTATTATTGGTCCAAGCTCCATGGGGGTGTTTCAGCACTTCTTCCATCCTGTGGGCGTTTCTTGTGGGGCAGGGTGCTGCCAGCCCCCATCCCTCCCCTACTTATCAACCCCAAAGTTTCTCCCCCATCCTGGCAGAGTGAGAAGCTGCAGAGCCCCAGACTCCTCTCCTGCCCCTTGTTCCCAGTTGGCTGCATCCTGGCCACCTCCAGCCAGGAGGCTGTGGGGAGGGGAACATCATCTGCTTTTTTGGAAGCTTGCAGACAAGACCATAGGGGGAAGATTTTCCCTTGTCAATAATTAAGCGTGTGGTGTTGACTCATCTAGGCAAGCGATGATGAAAGGCATGGGAGCTGGGCATGCTCCCAGCCCTGGGCACCACTGGATGCTAGGGCCTGGTACCTGCACCCCAGCCCGCTGTGGGCACCCGGAGACGGATGGGCGCTGGGGTTAGTCTGTCCCAGCCCTGCGTCCTCGTACACACCGTGCTGATGGGCTCTTGTGTTCATTGGGCTGAACCCCGCGCCGGCGTACCCCCAGGCACGGATGGGTTGCCCCAGCAGCATGATCTCCTCTGCACTGGTGGCAGGGCAGGTGCTGCCAAAGGGACAGAGGAGCAGCAGTTCAGGG